ATCTGTAGTTTCAATAATATCTGTAGTTTCAATTGTATCTGTAGTTTCAATAATATCTGTAGTTTCAATTGTATCTGTAGTTTCAATTATATCTGTAGTTTCAATTATATCTGTAGTTTCAATTGTATCTGTAGTTTCAATTATATCTGTAGTTTCAATTGTATCTGTAGTTTCAATTATATCTGTAGTTTCAATTGTATCTGTAGTTTCAATTATATCTGTAGTTTCAATTGTATCTGTAGTTTCAATTATATCTGTAGTTTCAATTGTATCTGTAGTTTCAATTATATCTGTAGTTTCAGTTATATCTGTAGTTTCAATTGTCAAGGGTGAACATGGCCAAACGGTTAATGTTCTGGGTTGCGTATCGTAAGGGCCAACATTTGCAACTATTCAACTGTGGGTGTGTTATATTAATGACTGTCACTCCCATTATTCGGTTCAAAGTCAGTCTAACCCTTGTAGCAACAGATGCTACTGTATAGGTGTCGTCCCTCTAGTCAATAATTCAAAATTATGGGTGGTTTTTGCCTAACCTGTAGGTGTCTCTGACCTGACCGTTTAAACCAATTGTGCGTAATGTGCTGTTCAGGTTGAAAATACTAGTACTTCCATTGACAAATTAATTAGTTTCGATCTTATATAAAGGAGAATAAGAAAATATATATAGATGGCAGCAGAGTAGAACGTGTAATGTAGGAAAATAAATGTAACAAGAGTTTTTATTTGTTATTAAACAGAAAAATACAGAGTGGGCTATCTGTGGTGTGTGTTACGCGGACATTGAAAACCATTTTTTAGAGTTATAGGCCCTCAGACTTAGCGTTGAGCCAGCGAGGTGGTGGTGTTTGTGGGGGCTGGTAATAAGGAACTGATAATTATAATAATTTCAAAAAATATAGTAGTATCCGAACACCGCAACCTTACAGTAAGTGCTTAATGGAGCTGTTCAAAATTATTTTGTTCCTCGGTGGGATAATGGTAAATCTATAGACTTACAACGTTAAAACCCGGGGTTTGATTCCCTGCGGAGGACATAGCAGATAGCCCAACGTGGCTTTACTCTAAACACAGCCCCCCAGTGGCACAGCGGTAT